CAAGTTGTGTTAGAACATGAGCAAACTTTACATTCCCTGATATATCCAATAAAGAATTTTTTGTGTTGTTTAAGGCAAACAAAAAACCCACCCCCAAAAACCCCACACTAATTTCTCTCCATTTAGGTGTCTGTTAATCACTATTGGACCACATAAATTGGTAGCAGTAAGCCATTAAGGTCTAAATTCTGGCCTCAAAACCAACCAGTACACCCACAAAAACTTCTGTGAAAAATCTAAATCAATGAAATCTGATGCGACTGTTCCATTCTTGCTATATACATGCACATCCATGAAAGCTCTTACAAAAGCAGACCATCTATTTTGTAATTGCAACACTAGTTACTTATAAAAAGATAGATGAAACCTCAGACTCTTCCATTCAGAATTCAGCTGCCTGTTTCAAACATTTGGGTGCAATTCTGTCATGTTGTGCACGTGGTAAGATAAATACAGTATAGCTGCAGGGTTCCCTCCTCCCACTCCCTTTCAGCTACCTCAGTTTCTGGAGGGCAGCCAAAGTGGCGGCTCCTGCCTTAGTTCACAGGCAGCCCCAGAGGGTGGTTCTGGGAGAGAAAGTTGAAGACCTGGAGGACCTTCCAAGACAGTCCAGCATCACGCAGGTGTGCACACCATCACTGGCAGTGGCAGGGCCCCCTGGTGCCAGCCTTGCCACCTTCCATTGGGGTGTAGGACTCTGTTGACCACTCAGAAGTGCAAGGATTCTCACTGCCTATTGAGGAAAAGAGGACAATCCGCATTGCTTCTCCTCTTCCACATTTCTTTTTCCTCTTTTTTACTGAAGAAAACGGCTGAGACCACTGAGGGCCTGGGACATCCCTGCTCAATTGCAGTCTGAAGATGCAGAGTGAGAGAAGGCGGCCACAGCTGGATCTTGGTGCCTTCTAGGTGTCTTTTGCTGTGGGGAGCCTTTAGGGGTCCTTATAGCAGTATACGAAACAGAGCACTCCTAGCTTGCCCTAACATATGTTATTAGCTGAGCTGTGTTTAGGCATGCAGAGACAGAAAACACACTGCCCAAAGCAGAGCCGGTCCTGCCTCTCAGGCTATCGGCAATGTGATCTTTGACCCTGACAAGGCATATGGCTGCTTGCATGCTTTGGCTTCCCCTTTTGACAGCTGTAATAAAATCCCTTCCCCAGTATCACTGTAATGTGTTGAGACATTAATGTTTGCAGCTATCGGCTTTGCTCCTCTGCCAGCATTTTATTACTCAGCGGCAGGAATGACAGACCCAGACAAGCACCTGCACCTCAGCTACTGTAGTGCAAAATCTGATATATTACATCCTTGGTGGAAAAAGATTGCACAGCAGTGGGAACTTAATGAACAGCTGAGGCACAGGTATATGTGAATGAAAGGCAGGATAGATAGGGACAGTAATATCTCAAATCGTGCCAGTATGCTTCAGTGAAAGGTACCTGTTAAACAGCTAAATTGATCACTCTGCTATCCATAGGCATCCATATTTATCCAGAATAAACAGGATACACAAAATTACAATTCAAACACTACATTGTAAATTCCTTAACTTGTCCACCTTCCAAAAGTATATTTATGAAAGCATTTGTTGTTTTTTTTATGTTGCAAACACTATTTTTGCACAGTTTTCATTAAATAAAGTTGCATATGACGTCATGGTGACTGTACACCATTCATTTTATGTTACTTCTACACAACGAGTTAAAGGAGTATTAAGACAGACTTGAAATGGGTTTCCCAGTCTCCCACTGGACACCCACATTGCCATTTGCAAAGCAGAAAAGATATGATCAGTCAGTAAACTATCTTCTATCACAGCAATAATGAATGATACATAAAACAGTATAAAACTAGGTTCAGCTATAGTAATTCCAGAACATACCAGGTCCGGGGCTATACAGAAATCCAGCCAATCTGGAGCAGGGAACCTGTGTTCAAACGGGAGGCATACGAAAAGTTGTGGTGAAGGTAAGGAAGCCACTTCATTTGTGGGACATCAATAGCAGATGATTTGCTCTTGGGCTCGGTCACTGTTATAAAACTCCTTTCCACCCACACAGGTAGGAAGACTAAGAAAGACACCGGCCCACAGTGAAGTGAGAAAATACTTACTTAGGGAACCACCCCTTGGCAAGATCTCATTTCTTTCTTTTTGTTTTTTTTTTTCTTTTTTTTTTTTATTCCCCGCACTTTAATAATTTTTAAGCCTTTAGAAATCTGAGTTCTGACGAAACAGCTCTTTTCTCCTTGATTTTGCATTAAGTTTTGATAAAGAATGATGGACCAATCTGAGAGCAGAATCTTTATTAGCAAACTGGAGAAGATCAGATTCCTTTACTGGAGAATATTAGACACCACAGGATTTTTTGGCATTTGAGCAGACTGAAGGCGTTGTTTTAATTTGTGTTTGTTTCTCACTGTCCAACCTATTTTAATTGGCAATAAATTAATTAATCTTCCATAAGTCTGGTTTGCCCATGACTGTGACTGGTAAGTGGTGTCTCCTTCTTTATCTTGACCCATAACCTTTTCCATCTTATTTTTTCCTCCTGTCTTATTGAGGAGGAGGAGGACTGAGAGAGCAGCCAAGTGGGTGTATGGCAGCCAGCCAAGGTCAACCCACCACAAGATGCACCAGAAAAAACAGCCTACAAGAAAAGGAGTCCATGTCCCTCTTGTCTGGATTGACTCATCCTCTTGTTCAATGTAAGGGTAAGTGTTTCACTACACTTGCCCCCACAATCATCACCACTTGCTGAGACTACCTCTAGGTTTTGTTTGCCAGCAGTGACCTGTATCCAACATTCAGGCTTCCTCTTGTATCTCTGATTATCTTCAGAGTTAGCATCTCATGGTCATGCCTTGTTTTCAGCATCTCCGGTTTGCCCTGCTTGACCCCAGCTTATGCTGAAATAATTACAGAGCCCTCTAAAGCTTGGACACTGCCTAATAATTCAGCTGATTTAGATTTGCATATTCATTATTTTTCAGGCACCCAGAAGGAAAGGGGGAGCCAATTACTTCATTGAGTCTTCCCTTGACAGATGGAATGACTTCTCTTCCTTTACTGCCTACATACTCTTGGTCTATTTCTATTATAATTCTGGTTCATTATAAGTCATTGCTGGGTTTCCACATGATTTGTGAAATAAGTGATTTTGCAAGCAGAGAAACCAACAGACCAGGACACAAAGCAAAACTGTATGAGGTCAGGAGGTTCAGATTCTAGCTCCGTCTCAGCTCTTCCCTCCAACAAATGATCACTGCTGAATTTTATGAAGAAATACCTTCACTTATGGCTTCAGGACTTTTGTGTTTAGGTTTGGGTTTTCTCTGGTTTTAATCTTGATTTTTCACAGTTAAATTGATTTTTTTCAAGTTGTGCCATATTTTTCGATAGTTTCTGATATTTTTTCTTGATAATTTTTCATTTTTTTATACATTTCAAAGCAAAAAAAAAAAAAACTTCTACTTTTCTAACTGATGCTCTTTCCCATCATTCCATCCATCTTTTTTTATTTTTTTTTTACCTTTGTAGAGAAATGAGCTAGCACTTGCAGAAGCCAGTTCTCCTGATAATTTCAGTGAGCTCTGGGGAAGTCCTAAAGGCTCATACCTTTCAGGCAGAGCTGGAACTCCATTCTGGCTGGAACAGATCCCAAAGCAGGCATGTTTCAACAAGTACACATGTAATTAAACTGAATTGTGAAATCAGAAGTACACAGAACTGGAAGGCCCCTGGCAGGTTTTTAACTTTATTCAGCAAGGCAAACAAACTCAGGGAGGTACAAAATCCTGATAGAACTTCTTGAGGCCCAGCCGTATTTAAAAGGAAGGAATCCAGCCCTCCTAAAATTAATAATCAGTTGTCTTTGTCTCCAACCACAGGGCAGCTGCAGGGGTTCAGGATGGCATGGGGCCCCCAGCAGCACACATGGCCCCCAGATGTGGTGTCCTGGGTGTCCGTGCCCAGGTGTTGGCAGCAGGGGTGGCCTCTGTGAGAAGGGGCCAGAGTGGCTGGGTAGGCGTCCGCCAGCTAGTGAAGGTCAACCCACTACCTGTGGACAAACAGCAGTTGATCCTCTTCTAAGAGGGACTGGCCGTTGTCCCCAGAGCCCAGTCCACCTGGCCCCCAAAACAACTAGGGCTGTCAGTAGTTCCTTTCCTTTTCTGCTATTTTTCTCAGTGTGGTGGGTTGACCTTGGCTGGATGCCAGGTGCCCACCAAAGCTGCTCTATCACTCCCCTCCTCAGCTGGACAGGGGAGAGAAAATATAACAAAAAGACAGGGAGAGATCACTCACTAATTACTGTCACGGGCAAAACTGACTCATCTTGGGGAGATCAGTTTAATTTATTACCAAATAATAATAATTTATTATCAGAGTAGGATAATGAGAAATAAAACCAAATCTTCAAACCTTCAAACCTTCCCCCAATCCCTCCCTTCTTCCCAGGATCAACTTCACTCCTGAATTATCTACCTCTTTCCAGACAGTGGTGCAGGGGGACAGGGATTGGGGTCAGTTCATCACACGTTGTTTCTGCTGCTCCTTCGTCCTCAGGGGGAGGACTTTTCACACTCTTCCTCTGCTCCAGCATGGGGTCCTCCTATGGGAGACAGTCCTCCACAAACTTCTCCAGTGTGAGTCCTTCCCATAGGCTGCAGTTCTTTACAAACTGCTCCAGCATGGGTCCTTTCTATGTGGTGTAGTCCTTCAGGAACAGACTATTCCAGCATGGGTCCCATGTGGGGTGACACATCCTGCCAGCAAACATACTCCAGCACGGGCTTTCCACAGGGTCACCGCCTCCTTTAGACATCCACCTGCTCTGGTGTGGGGTCCTCCCCAGGCTGCAGGTGGAGATCTGCTCCCTTGTGGACCTCCCTGGGCTGCAGGGGCACAGCCTGCCCCACCATGGGCTGCCCCAGGGGCTGCAGGGGAATCTCTGCTCCGGCGCCTGGAGCCCCTCCTGCCCTCCTGCTGCACTGGCCTGGGGGGCTGCAGGGCTGCTCCTCTCACATATTCTCACTGCTCTCTGCACTGCTTTTGTTGTGCAGCAGGGACTTTTTCCCCTTTATGTTAACCCAGAGGTACTACCACCATCACTGAAGGAAAAAACTTTTCTCTCCTCAAAATGCCTTCACCTTGGAATATGTAATATCAAACACAGCAGACAGTTCGGCCTGGCCCTTTTCTGAGGGCTTCAGTTTTACTGCATCAGCGAAAAGCTAATCCAACAGACATCTCTTCCAACATCTGTTCCAGCTTGATCTCTTCTGAAAGAGGCTTATCTGTCCATCACAGTACAGCCTATACGCAACTCTGTTTCCTCCTCCTCTTCTCCAGAGTCCAGCCCAGGCAAGCAAGGGAGGGCACAGGTATCCCCAGTGCCACACTACTATCAGGACAGTGTGAACTCTAGGAGAGTCCACAGGCTTAAGGGGAGGCTGGACAAATTCATGGACTCTGGGAAGTCCCTGAGCTTAAATGGTGAAGACTGGTGGAACAATCTGTAGAAAGTACTGCCACATGTTTGCCGTACTCATACCACTGCTGGAGGTAGGATCCTGAGCTGGATGGCCCTGTAAAGCTGTTCTTCAGTTCCTATATATTGTCACTGTTGAAAAAAATCTGTTCCAAATTTTGTTGTATCTAGACAAAAGTCATAAGAAAGCTGTCTTCTACAAACCAAGCCCTTCGTAATAGCCTTCCTCTCTTCTAGCTATCAGTTATGTAACTATTACATCAATTTTCAATGTCACATGTATGTAACTTGCTTTGAAGGGGCAATGAATAAAACAAGTCCAGTTGTCTTTCCCAGAAACTCATTTTTGCAAAGAAAATGTGCCTTTCTAACACAGTGTTTTTGTGTAGATCAAATGCCAGCATTCTTTGAGGTTTTGAAAAACACTTGGGAAAGATATTACAATGGAGAAGTCACCTTTGCTAGTTACAGGTCAGCTTGCTTTTTGGTTTCGCAGGTCAGGATTGAATGATTCAGAAGGAATAGCTTCAGTGAGTGTTTAATTTATCTCTTTGACTGCATAACAAAAATGATGGGTAGAAACTATTGTTGGCCTAGTTAAATTGTTGATTCTAACTGTCTTTCCTCTGTATCATTGTCCTATGACATGGATCAAGATCAGAAAAGTTAGAATTTTTCTCATGTGACAGATGCAATTTTGTCAAAATGATATCTTTTTGTTCTTTAGCTAGTAATACAGCACAGACAGTCATAACAAAACATTACAGAAGAGAGAATGACAATGTTATTTTACCATTTTTCAACCAATTTACCATTGCTCTTTTACTATTTCCTAGCTTTTCATAACATTTATTAATTCACTCCTGTAGTCAGATCGCCCAATAAAAAGTTGGAAAGTCTTTTATTAATTGCAAAAGAATCCAGGACACTGAGCATTTTCAGGTTCCTGGAATCATTGAGGTGACCATAAACATGTTCAGACTTCATCAAGTACATCAGCACCATGCTTGTGTCTAATGACTTCATATAATTTCTTTCCTTTTTTGTACAAACTTCATAACTAATCCAAAGATACCTGGAAAAGGAGGGATGCTAGCAAAATTACCTTATCTCTGTTAAGAAGCTGTCTGCACTGGCACATTGAATCGTACTAGGTTATGAGCTTGAAAAGTTGCACTTACTGCCATGACACCAAATACAATTTTGTGATCAGTCTGGACAAGGACCTGTCTTGCTTAGTAACTCTGTCAGCTGTCCATGGCTAACCCAAACACACAACTTAGCATTACTCAACATAATCCTCATAGTCATAAACTGACATTAGAGGGAAGATAAGCCGTAGTCCATCCATTCTCATTTGAGATACCACATTTAAACAAAGTGATGCATTTTGAAAAGGTTTTTCAACACCATTTGTTTAGTAACTTATACCTTATTAGTTCTGTACATTTCTGGATTGTTTCCTCAACAGAAAAAATGACAAGGCACAGTTCAGCCTTCTTCAGATGCATGAACATGCTATGCTTACTAAAGAGCCTTTCAAGAGACTAGTAGTTTCAATATGTAGTTTCTTGTTGGATATGTTCTTTATAAATCCTTCCCATTTATCTCTGTTGTGATATCCTTTCTTTGCCAATAATAGTTAATCTGAAGGCAAGTTTGTACTGGTCTTTCTAATAGCCAGGCAGAGCAATAGCCTCTACAGCTTCACCTCAGACCCTTAGCACAGATAGCTATTAACAAATGACGGTAATAGCAAGTGGAATTGTTATTGTTGCCAGGCATAAACTTCCTTTTTATATGTAGCTTAACTATCCTTTTCTGCTAGGATATCTTTTTAGATTACACAAGTTATGAAGTAGAAAGGTTATAAAAATCATAAATTTAAGACCAGGAAAAGCTGTAGCAGCATTAAATCAATCCATGGCTATTCTGTCTGAGGAACTGACAGAGCTGGACCTTTGGGATCATCGAATCTGCTGTTTGTAGTGAGCTGCATGATCATATGGATTCCATAGGCCAGGATCCACAGTAGAATTATAGATGTCACCAAGCCCATCCAGATTTCAGGAGTGAAGAAGCCTGTGCAGTCACTTGCATAGGAAAACTGGTTGTTTTCAATGTTGAACCCTTGAATCTGAGAATGAAGAAAGGTAGATAGATGAGTGCAATTACATGCGGAATGTAGGCCACATCAGGATATATGTGGTAATTACAAAACCCACACCTGTTAATTACCACTCACGTTCTGCCCATTAAAAAAGAGTGAGAACCAAATCCTTTGCATAACAGTTTTCCAGGTCTCTTTTTCACCCAGGAAATTAAAGATGCAGAAGTCATTGGTTTGGCAAGAGGTAGGTTGTGTTTCCCACTTCGGAAATTTGTGTTACTTCTAGAAGTAAAGTCCCAAAGGGGACATTGTGATCCGTATTGCTCAATGACCACTTCAGAATTAGGAAATTCAATGCACCCAAAGGCATGAGAGTTAATGCCCCCCAAATCATAATATCTGTTGAAATTCCCTGATATTTTTAGCTAATAACTCCTTGACAAGCAAAACTCCTGAAACCTACTTTAAAATGCATTTAATGAAGATGACCTTTTTGGCTGAGTTTTAGTGAAAGTTCAAGGAGAAAACAGTTGTGAAACCTTTCTTCCCCCCTCCTTAGACATCAGAGCCTCAAAGCAGGAGGGAGGCTTGCTTTAGTGAGTTGTGGGCTCTGTGCTATTAACATATGAAACCCATATAAACTTTTCCAGCAGTTAGAAAAAAATCTGTAATATCTCTCCTTTGACTGGATTCTCGAGGGCTGCCACTGACTGAACTCCTGCCATATTATTTTCCTCAGAAAAATCAACTAATTTGGGGATCTATTCTCTGTCTAGCCAGCAATTTTTCAAAAAGTGTCAACCAACTGAATGCCTTTGAGGCCGCTATCCTTCTAAAATTTTGTTAAAACCAGTCAAAGAATTAGAAAACTATGAAGAAAGGGAATACGGTCTCCCCTTTACACACATGCACATAATTTCATAAGCACTGATTCCTTCAGAAGGAAGGGAATCTAACTGGTGGAAAAAATGAGGAAGGAAAAAACTAATTTGATCTGTGTTTTAAGTCTTTCTTAAATAATTTTATGAAGAAAAATGAAGACTGACATTCTTATGTATTTACAGATTCTTTGAAATGGGTGTGTACGGAAAGCACCAACAATCATAAATCTACCAGTAAAGAAACAAGACCTTAAAAATTATTTTCTATAAAATATTATAGAATAAAACTTAAAAGGATTATTTAAATCGCTTCCCTCACCAGGAATTAAGCAAGGAAGCAGAAGAAGATCATAGCTTTCTACTTCTCTGTGTTCCCGCTCCATGATTACTCTGTGCTTTATGATAAACTAAATGGAAAGCTTTGTGGTAATAAAAGAGTTTGTACTTCCTAGTAAAGGCGTTGGTGCAAACATTGAAGAAATTAGTCTGTGGCTTGCATACCACGCTATACCAGTAAGCGCTCTGGGTTTGAGTTCATTAATGACTCAGGCACCTAAAGTTAATGTGTAGTTAATATGTGTGCTAAGACCAATGTCTATACCTCCCAGAATGCTGATTAATAAAACTATTATCACATGCAGAATTTAAGGGCTATTTAGGTACTGTGGAGGTGAAGACAATTTTAGCAATTCAAGCTTTTCTGGGTCTCTTAGAAGAATCTTTCCAAGTCAGATCATGGTAGCTAACTTGCAAATACTGCCTGCTTTCACTATAGGCAGTCAGACTTCTGATTAAAGCAGGATTAGCAAAAATAAGCTTTTGGGTTGGATAACTGTTTGCACAGTTTTAGAGAATACAGGTGATTACCAAAGCCTTTGCTTGTTAAGCCACTGCTTTGACAACAGATGAGAATGTGAATAGGAGTCATGAAATGTAGTCTGAAAGACTCATTTTCAATAAAAACAGAAAGCGGGTGATGATTTATGGGGTTTATGTTCAAAAAAATGGATTGAAATTCTGGAAACCAATACACACTTGTTACTATATTTACAAGAACTCTCTAAAGCACTTACCAGGTATATTTGGTTTAGAAAGGCTTTGCCACTTCTGATTTAGAGCCAGAAATACTGAATTTTATTATGTCAATCCTACTGGGTTTTTTTGAAGTAGGATTATGCTTATTGAACCTTCAAGGTGAAAGCTTTAATTGTACGCTCTTAAAATGCTATGTCTCCTTTTAGGCAGGAGATGAAGTATATGCAGCGTTCTTTTATTGTTTTTCTGAAGCTTTATCATTTCTGTGGGGGTGTTAGATCCCAGGTGGGAGACAAAAATGTGACTCCTAGAAGCATTTCTACCTATAGAAAAGTTAAAAATACTTAACATACGGTTCTCTAATTTTTATGAATGTAAAAGCCTTTTGGATACAGGCCTCTGTACTGAGGAATTTTTAATTTTAGTCTTTGGACCAGCACTATTTCTCTTGGTTATACTAATCTGTATTTATTGTTAATTTTTAAAATATTTTTTGAATGGAGTTTTCTCATCATTTGACCTTTGACAAAGCCTTCAAGTAAAATCTGTTGTTGTCATGGCTCTTGAGTGTACACTGAACATATACTTTTTGAACTTAGAAATATTTTAGCCACAAAGAATCATAATATTCTTGATTTTAAAGGGTTTGGATGCTTTTCTTAGGAATAAAGGGGCTTCTAAACCACTATGACACATACTAAAGAAAAGCAGTGGTTTTGGTGGCAGCATCCTCTTTAACTTCATGGGCAGGTTTGTGATCCTCAAAAGGATAAAAGGTATCATGCTAGAACAACCGTTGCTGAAACAACAACAACAAAATTAACAAAAATACCACTGAAACCAGAGCAGTTTTCGTACTGTGTACAGCTCTGAGTGGAGAGATCCTAGGCTATGGGCACACCTAGACAGCATCCCACAAAGATCCTTCAGGTGGAAGTGACTGAGCTTGCTCCAGAACTAAAGTAAAAGGCTGCATCAGTTCAGCCTTGCCTTGGAACAAGCTATGCAAGGCTTCACTGTGCAGATGCCATGTCCCTCTAATACAGTGATACTGTTTTCTGGACCCAAAATTGCAAAGTGCAATTGTAGGGACATGGTTTGGTGATGGGATGTCAGGGTTAGGTTAAAGGTTGGACTTGATGATCTTAAAGGTCTTTTCCAACCAAAGCAATTCTATGATTCTATGATTCTATATATCTGCTAGATTGGCATTGGATCTGGTTTCTAATTCATTGCATAACTTTGACATGAAAACCACGTTCCTCTGTTTCAACAACAAGATTTTATGCCGGCTGCAACCACTGGGTGCATCCCATGTGCCTTTTTCACCACACAACAGAACCTGGGGGTTTCTAAACCTCATTCTAGAACAAAGCCTGATATTGAGATCAACCAGATTTCACTCCATATCAGTGGAATGTATCTGGAAAGGTATGATATAGCTCAGGTAGAACTTAGAAACAGGCCCAGAATGGTGACTTTCTGTTTTCTCACACAACAGAAAAGACCAGAACAGGACTTTTGAGGTTGTGTTCCATGCTTAGGACTTGATCAGAGAAAAAGGCCTTTCCCGAGAAGAAGTGGAAGTTCTGTTGCCTGAGCAGTGGAAGCAGCTGCTGCTCCAAATCAATAAGGAAGGTCGGAAACCTACTAGTTCTACTCTTGATCAAAACCCCAATGAAAGGATGTCTACTGAGGATGGAGCAAGGCTTCTCTCTAAGCTTTGAGAAGGCAGAAAGATCAATATGTGTAGAAATTCAAGGAAAAGATATGTTGCAAGTGAACACTTTGTATTTTCATAGCCCACATACTTTCATAGCCTAGTGATGCCAAAGTCTAACGTCAACGAGTGACTAGGCAAAGTAGAGTTGTGTGGACTCAGATATTTTCAGGCCCTTCCATAAAAAATACCATCAGGAGGAATCTCCACAACATTGGTGTGTATTGCTACACTGCTTCTCAAAAAACTGTGGGACTTGATCCTGGAATTTGTGGACAATAAATCTCAGCACCAATGCCGTTCCTTTGAGATTTCCATTAAGCAGAAATGTCAAATCTGGACTCAGATTATTGAGATTTGGTTTGTTATTGAAATCGTAAATACAATCATATAGCATTTGTATCGAGGTATCATGGGGTTACTCATCTTTGACAAACAGAGTCCAGTTTGGAATTATTCCTATCATTTCCATTACCTCTTTAATCAAAGAGATCCCTTAGTGTGATATTGTTCTAAGATACAAATGTTGATGTGCTTCTCCTAAGGTCAATGCTCAAAATAATAAAGATGCAATCATCTACACCTCGCATATGTAATCTGTACCACTGCACTAAATACACAGAAAATCTATGCCTCATTCAAAAAAAAAAGTCCAACTGCTTTCCTTCTGGGCCCTGTGGGACCTAGTATTGCTCCCAGCTGAAGTCCATGGCAAACCTTCCATTAAATCTAATTGCACCGGGCTTTGTTTCTGTCTGTGGGAGTACAGACAGTCTATGTCATGGAAAATGGTAACCACACTAAGTTGCACTTTCCTAGGTAAACAAAGTGCAAAAGAATCAAATAAAAACAAAGTAAGCAGCATAAAGCCACCCACCTAAGAGGTCCATGTTTCCAATAGCAGCCCAATTCATTAAACAGGCATGGGGACTTAGTCATTCTTTGCCTGATTAAGTGCATTTGGGTTTATTCTTTTTTCTTTTCTGTGGGCAACTTCATATTCTTTTGTTTTTCAAAGCAGTGCTTTCATGTTCTTATTGTTCAGCAACTGCCATATTTTTTACGCCTTTATTGAATAGCTCACCAAGGGGGAACAGCTTTTCTTTTACATTTTCCCTCAGGCTGAAATGAAAGTAAGGGCATTATGAATGTGTGTCATTCAGCACCTACAATAGGAAGTAATAGTTCTTGGAATTATCTCTGAAATGGCAATGTGTACTCACTTGCAACCTGGAAATGAAAACATCCCAGTTTTTTGCCTCATTGTTGGATGGAATCAGCCTTGCAGGATAGAGATTGCTTGTTCCCACCAGCTGACAATGAAATGAATACTCTGCAGGAGCAGAGATGACAGAAACATTAAATTTAGCAAACTTTTCTCCATCTTGTACGATCTCAACTGAATCTAAAGTGGACCAATTTCGAGCCGAGCCTCCATAGAACTTGTTGGACATTAAAAACCTAGAAAGACAACAGAGGGAGAAAAAAAAGGTCACAATGATGGAAGGAAAAAATTTAATATTCCTTTGATAATGTACTGGTGGCAGATAAAGGTTCACTATTGCTAGTTGCAAACACCACAGGCGGTATCTTAGCTTTTAGGTTTGTTTGTAAGTGAAGAGATTCTGTGAATATGTTTTTACTAGTTCTTAAGAGTTTCATCTCACAAGCACAGCTTTCCATAGCTGTGGCAGGCAAGGAGCAAATGCGATTTCATTCTTCAAGGACCTCTACCAGTGCAGTATTTCATCAGTTACCAACAGTTTCTAATCAGTGGAGCAGAACCTGAGAGACTGTCAGTATGCCTGCAGTGGCTCTCAATAAACATTTTATGGGATTTTTTTAAAATTGCTTTTATGATAGGTGCAGGCATGATAACCATTCTGATTTGTCATTGCAATTCTTCCTTGGCTCAAATGCCTAAATGGCAATTTCCTTTGCAAATGTCTGAATTTCCAGTAGAAGACAGAGTTTTCCTTCACCGAAGGGTGGGGAGGGTTTGTCAGTCCTAGTTTCCCAATTTGTAGTGGGTTAGGCACAAATAAATATTTTCTCATTTTGAAAAGGTCAGTGTATGTGCAGTATTGCAACAGTTTTCAGTAGTTTATAACCATGGGATTTATTTATATGTTACTACCACTGCAGTTTGAACACTTCCCAAATGTTCTGAAACAGAAATAATGGAGAACACCGAGAAGTACATCCTGATCCTTTACAGATCGTGTCCTAGTCTTTACCACTTTTTACCCAGTTACTTTCAGGTATTCAAGTTATCTCATAAGGAAATGATAAACTTTTCTCCTTATTGTATGTTGCTTTAGATCTTTAACCCTACTTGGTCTATGTATGTATTGCTATTGCTCTGTATAGTTTGCTGAAGGGTTTGGGGTTTTTTTGCTTATTAATAACCACAAAGAATTTAGAAGAGGAATCTTTTTAGCAATAAGTGAGACTTGTTACAAAATGTAATATTCTGCCTACCCACACTGGGCAACACTGTTTGTGGATTTTAAAATTTGGGGTAATGCTTAGAGGCATTTATGACAGGTTTGAAAAAATAAGCAGTCATTTATAAATGTGGCACAATATAGAATATTTTATGTTCTCTAGGGTATATGTATATATAGAGAGAATATTTTCTGTTGTGGAATATTGCTTGTTTGTTCAAATCCGTTGCTTTCAGTACCGTATCATCCACACAACATGGAGTCTAAACACAAACAACGCTCCTTGGGAGTAACACACAAAATTTTACAGGTTAGGTTATTACCAAGCCCTTTCTCTTTTTTTTTTTAAATAATCTGTGGCTTTTGATTCATCTATGTTCATAATCCTCAAGAGTTTTAAAATGCTCAGAAGGAATCCTAGAACTCAAAGGGTCATTCGGGTGAGCAAAGGATGTTTTGTTTTATGGCATTCCTTAAGTTTTGAGCCTAAACAGCTGTTTCCATACAATGTTCGGCTGTGAGCATCACTGAAAACAAAAAAAAATTGAATTTCATCTAGTACACATTCACAAATATTTATGGAAAGTATTCTACTGTTATAGTCATAAAGTTACAAAATTAATACATGTATTAGCCTAAATATTAATTGCTAGAAGAAAGAAATATTTTCCTGACATGCACCACAATCTCAACAGAATTTCCATGGTGTCTCAGCAGCAATGCTAGAGGCACGAGCTGGAGGCCAGTTATAAGCACAGGGAAATTTACTTAAATGTTTGTGCCAACCACAGATTCTGAGCGTGCTCTGTACTTTTGCTGAGAAGATGAGTGGTAAACAAGGAAATTCTCTGGAGACTCACCATATGAACAGGCAAGTTATATAAGGCTATGTATGTGAGTACAGTCTAAAGTGACCTCCAAGAGAATGCTGTCTCTTTATGTTGCACCAAAGACTAAAATTTTATGTTACTTGGGGATTTACAAGAATTAAGATTCTAATTAGTGAACCAGTGGAGCATGTTTAACTTAATAATACAGGATTTGACCCTTAGCATTTTTCCAAACAACTGATAGCAAATAGTCTCCAACAAGCAGGCTCTTAACTAATTACTGATACAACTATAATTGATTAAATTACAAAAAAAGATATTCAAATAAGAAAAATCAATAGAATGACTTCATTTAGTTTAATATTTTCCCAGATGAGTAGGTAGAAAATAGAATGAGCACCATATAGCAAATGAATGATGAGGAGAGGGAATAAAGTTTTTATCTGCAAAACTGAAAGTACCTTGGCTTTTATAGGAAATGCTGTGTTCGTATTAAACATCAGAACCAATACAGGAAGCCAACTTTGACACAGACATTACGTACTTTATGTATGGTGTCACAAACAATTCCCGGTCATAGGCCAGACTTCCTTTGTGCCAGATCACCATATGAACTCTAAATGCCACCACCTGTTACCGATCACCATCTCGTGTGGCTATTCATTACAAGGAGAGAGATTTCTGAAAAGGAAGCTGGTTGGAATTACTACTGCTTCAAAGACTCAAAGAGAAACACAGCTGTTAGGAAAAAGGCTTTAAAACATGGTTCTTGGGTCAGTTCTATTCTATATGTTCTACGAGCAACAACAACAGTTGAGTACTTATCAATGTAAGTGGGGAAAATACTAATGCTCTGCACTTCCATCCACTTTGACACCTTTTCCCAGAGAAGATGACAGACAGGTGCTTCAACAGCTGGGTGTCATCTGCTGCTGAGAGAGCTGAGATGATGCTCCTTCCAGCAAAAACTACTGCCCACTGCTCCTACCCCTCCTGCAGCGGTCGCTCACTTTTCTAAAGCTAGCACAACCAGAATCACTCTACAACCGCCCCCTGACAGCTCACCCCTCAGTGACAAGTGCAGGAGGACGAAAGGGACTGCTGCTTTTGCTAGAGGGAGGGAGAGGCAGGTGGCAGCTGTTTGGATGGGATGAAGCAGCTATCACAGCTGCTAGTAGGAGGTGGGATATGACTAGCTGCTCAGAATGAGGTGGTAGACTTGTTGTGGTAAGGGGATCCAGCTCATGATGCTGAATTTAGAGCCTCTTTTATTGATTAATAAGTGGAGCTATTTGAATATGGTTCTCTTTGGTGTCGCTTTCTGTCTTCAAGGGATGCTTACACCTTAGTAAATGGCCTTTATAGGGGGGAAAAAAATGCAGTTGTGGCTCTAAGCTCTGTTCCTTCCCACCTTTTTGCCCTGCTTGTGTCCCGTTTACTGAGGCAGACTGTAATCTTACCAAGGAGTCATCTTGAACAAGAAATGTAATCAAAGCAAACCAGAAGGGGAAAACAGAGGTTGTAATGTGTCTCTGAGGGTTTTAGAAGCTCTTGACAATAGTCATGCTGAGCTAAACAAGGTCAGTAAGTTCCTGAATCATGAAAAGATTGATTGATTGTTCTGATTCTGTTGAGTATATCTTATTATTTGCATTATATGCCATGCAATATTGTATTATGGTAGCTAATAGAGGCCTAAACCGACACAATTGTCTCTTAAATGAAGAGATAAACCAACAGAAAACAGCACAAATAACCAGGTGTGTCTTTAGTAGAAAGTTTTCTTTCTAAAGGTTTCTGAGGTGTTGTGGGTGGACACCAGCCAGCAGCCAAGCACCCATGTAGCTGCTTGCTCACTCCCTGTCCCCAACAGGACAGGGGGAAGAATAGACAGAGAAAAAATGAGGAAACTTGTGGGTTGAGATAAAGACAGATTAATAGGAAAGAGGAAAAAAGCAATACAGAAGCAACCACATTCTACCTCCCACAAGCAGGCCAATGCACAGCGAATGTCCAAGCAGTTACTACCCTGGAAGCCACCCCCCCACCTTCTTCCTCTATTCCATTTTTTATTGCTAGAACCTGTGTCACACATAAAAAATAATCAGTTTAGGTATTTTTGTGCCTAAATGCCCTGAAGGGCTATTAAAAACCTGGGTCACACCTAGCCCAATGGAATAAATCAAATTCTCCTGCAAAGCACAGCCAGCCCATGCTACTTTAATTACTCTCTGGGCATGACAGTGGTCAGGACTTCACCTACTCTCTTTTCAAGTCCTCACCCAGTGGAGCCTGTGTTTCTCATCCCAGCTTGGTATTTTGGTATTTAGTTATAATGTATTCAAGTAGAAGCACAGGTCAAGAGAAACTTTGTGAGTATTTCTGCCTTTACTACAACAGGCTCAAAGAACATTAAAAAAATTTCCAGAATAAGCGAGAAAACATGAACCGTTCACCTTTTGTACTGATGTTCTCCTTTAATTTACAGTCAGTCTGTCTGCAGGATTGCTTCAAATTTCTTCTGTTCAGATGCACCTCAGATTCACGACCACATTAAAGTTTTCTCCCAATAATTAATTAAAATTATAAGATTTCAACAAACAGATGACTAACCACAAATCTGAATAGTCCTCATTAAGTCCATATGCATGCACTAAGATCATGTTTGATCTTCTTATGCCTGCAATCAAAATCTAATATAAATGTTTCAACTGCCAAAGTATTTTGTTTCTATAGTAGCATCCTAAGGTTTGCAATTTGCTGTTGTACAGTTGAGCAAAAGCTGTTGACTACTTTAAAGAAAACAACCCCTCTAAGATCTGTCAATTAACTTGGTAGATAGTTTTGCAGCAGAGTTGCATAGGATTACAGCTCCATAGGATTTTCAAGTGCTTTATAGTTCATATTTTCTTGGAACTGTAATTTTAGTAGAAAGCGTGGTAGTATGCTGAGGATGGTCACATTCTGGACAAATGTAGAAAGCAACCAGATTCCTTCATATTCCTATGAAGAGATTACAGGAGAGTAGCTAAGACCTGCACTAGAATGAACAAAGACGGAGAATGAGAGATGAGGGCACTGTTTTGGTGGGTCTGTCTGTACGAGCATGAGACAGGAGCAGCAGACAGGAGGCAGGGAAGCACCAGGACAGCACCAGAGAAAGCAATATTTTGTGACTTGGCATAAAAGTAAAGATACAACTTGGGCAGTCTTGGTCTGGGAACAGTATTTTTGGAATGGGATCCCAAGAAAATATTTCCTTAATTCCCCATGGTGTTCAGGGAAATGCATGCCCCTTCAGTAATTTATGGTATTGAAACCAAGAAAAGCTTGGTTTTGTCACTGAGGGATCCTATACACAGCTAACTACAATAGTCAAAAAAGTAAAAACAGTATACTAACAGCAACCTTATCTGTACATTATGTTCTTCCACAAAGCTCTAGATGCTTGGGGTGGATGGGAGATGTTAAATAACAAAGCATGTTTGGGGTTTTGCCACCTATCACGGTCTCCGATTATGACTGCAAGTGTCTCTGTGCACTCCAAATACAACTCCAAATACATCACTGACTCTCTTCAACACAAGTCCTTCTGGGGGTCCTTTTACCTAATTCTAGAATGTCCTTATATCTTGGTGCAAATAATGGTATTTATTCATTTGTGTATATCATTTTAGTGCCATGTGCCTCTTCTACTCTCCTACCAAAATGTTGTTCAGGCCCTGATTGTCTCCTACATTATTACTTTAAACTTCCTCTCTTTGGTTGCCTTGGATTTCAATTTCCTTTTTCAAGATGTCAAAAGCATTTTAGATGGCAAAAGTCATTTGTTCTTCTGCTGCCCCAGCAAACATCCAGTTTATCCTCTGATATGTGCAAATTTAAATCAGTGCAAGTTCCCTGGCTCAAGCCCTTCCCAAATAAATTTAAGCAATTAACTGAGGTACCTAAATGAAAAGAGCAGGCCACATTATCTTTGCCAGAGCTTAAGAAAATAATTTTAACTGCTGTCCCTGCTGATGATGAAAGAACTGAGGTTTGTGGACCAGCAGCTGTATGGAAGCCCTCAAACAGTAGCAGATGCTTTCCCCATCTCTAGAATCCACTAGAGAGAGCAACAGCTGCAAGTTCTCCCTTTGACTTTTCACCCCAAGTCTCCCCTTTCCCTAACTTTTCTTCCCTCTTCTCATGGTAGGAGAAATGTGGTCTTGTCACCATCTAAGGAGCAGAAAAATTAGGAGTTTTTGCACCCCTCATTAGCCACAAGCTAGCTCTGACAGAGTACACTGGTAACCCACATTAGGACTAAATGCAACCCTGGCCATGCAAGCAGACTTCAGCCCCTAGAACTGTTCACAAATCACAGTTATATTTCCCTGAGGCAGGATCGTGGTCTGATCCTATTAGCAAAACAGGTATTCCGGTATATATTCCGGTACCTTACAGTATGGTTGGTTGCCTACACCACTTTTTCAGAAATTTACCTGAGTGTATTAACGTATTCTCTATGTAATGAATGTATTATTGTTCTCCTGCATAGTGACTCCTCAGAACAGAAAGCAAATCGTAATTTCAAAAACATTTTCACTTAACTCCTCCTCTTTTTTTGTTCCTAATTTACAAACAGGCTTTGTACATCACAACGATCTATTTAAGACTAAATCATAAGTTACCTTATCTCTAGGCTGCTGATTCCATTCACTGGCTTTGTGTATTTTAATGACAGTCTAAGAATAAGAAACAGATTTTTAATGTTAGAGTAGTCAGCTTTAATTAGATCATTGTGACATTTCAATCGGAGGGAATATTCTAAATCAATAGGCAATTACAAAAGTCATGTAGCAAAGGTTCAGTACACAGAAAAATATGACAAAATATTTCTAGGAGTTTTTTTACCCAAGAGCAGGTGCTTCAAAGTAAAGGAAAACAGAGATCATGTTTCATTAATGTACTTCCAGCTGAATTACTACCTAGTAACTGGCAATGCTCCCCTTCTAGGGAATTTTACAATGAAATGATGATCTCATTAATGCCAGTGGAGATTTCTGTGATTATGGGATCAGGAACAGGAAAACCTGTTCGGACCAAAAAAAAACAAACAAGGAAGGATGGAATGTAAAATTGTGAAAATAGAGGCTGCACCCGAACAATTTTTGTGGTCCTGACTCAATCTTTTTTCTTCTAAGAATATCCAATTTAGTATTTTTTATTTTGGATGCTTTAGAAGAAGAAAAGTAAATTAGTATTAACATGTCATTGCACCATTTCTGATTAGTTTTCAGAATCACTTGTATTATGATATGAAATTTCTTGTGCTACTCACGTTGTGTTGATGTCTGAGCACTCAGAGGAAGAAATATCCACATCCCGCGTTACAAATGTTGCATTTGTCAGATCTATAAAAACTGAACTGTTGGCTTTAAGGCTGAAATTACTAGCGTAAAAAAGGATGCATATATCATTTCCAGTGGTCACGTTCAGAGGAGGATATGATAAACTGCCTTCTTCCTCAGCAGCCATTAACTGTCGTCTTAATTCTCCCACCACATCAGTTCTTCTAGAAATCTGGAATAACAGCACATTAACAATTCATCTCCTTCGGTAATAACAATTGAACACAGACCTTCACCATTCTGTACCATGAGCACCCATCCTTCTTAAATCCTCAATCAGCGTCAATATTTATTGTTGCCTGTCTATTTAATTGGCGGTAAGGAGGCTAATGAGGTGGTGTTAAGCTAGGTTTCCATGGGCAGGTGTCCACGTGTGAAAAGAAGCACCACTGATCTTAAGCAAATGAACATAAACCCGTGTTGTTAACGCTGCCTTAAGAGAATAGCATGCATTAGTGCTAGCAGGTAAAAGAATTTTTTTTTTTTGTTACAGAAGAATATACTGAAAGAAACTAACTTTTTTCCTGCGATAAAATCACAACAAAACTTCAGCTTGCCAGTACAGCGACCACCCCCCTTGGTAACAAGAACAAGTTTTGCACTCTTCATTTCAACAGGCATGAAAGCAGGCTACTTAGCGACAGCAGTGTTATATTTAGACTCTTCTGATGGCTTCTAGAAAAAGAAGATCTATGCTCATTTGGCTGATGTGGTGAACTCCTACAAGAGACTTCCCTGCATATATACATTGCTTTTAGGAGGTTTCCAGGAATGACTTTTAATAGGTCATGCTTTTTTACAAATGTGCCCAGGGCATCCTTGGTAAAACAGCCCCATTGATATCAATGGTAAAAGCTAGCTGATCCTATCAGACAATAACTTAATCGTGTTGTTCATATCTTACTCTTCACTTCTTTCTCTATTCATCTCTGGGCTATTCCATCTATTTTTAAGACCCATCTCAGCTTTAGAACTTTGTATTCTACAAGTGGCCTCTGCCCTTTGATAACTTTGGGATACAAGAAATGAGAGGCATTACAGGGGTTACCAGAACTACAATCATGTGGAGCTATTGCCTGGAACCACTTTTAAGGGGTTTAAAGACAAGCAAGACCATTTTCCTGTCTGGAACAGAGGCTATAATATCACTTTATAACCTGCCTGTGGCCAGGAGCCCCAGAAGATTTTGTCACCTTAACCACTGCTCTCTAAATGCTATGGGGCACCTGTTATATACAACAGGTCTTTGCAGATACCTCATTCTACGAACAAAGCAGAATGGGCTGAGTTAAAAAACCTTCGACTAAACGCTCCAATGAAGATTGCAATCTTCCTCTCCCATACATGCATACTTTATGAATTTCTTTTTAATTCAGAGTAGTGCCTTTTCAAATACATCAGAACATGCATTATTTTAAATGAATACCATTTTCTTTAAAAGAAGAGTGTACAACAAAAGAAAATATTCAACTTTTGATATAAAACTTTTAATCTTCCCTTAGGCTCTCCTGAAATGTAATCATTTTATTTCAAACTGAGAGGAAGAGCTGAAGTCTAAATTATATCCTGTCTAACAATTGACTTCGCTATGTGGGCCCTGCGTATCATCTAAAGAGGGCTTTAAAAACCACCTGCTAATAGCTGAAAACAAGGTTACATCGGAGACTGTGATTGGGCTAACTTGGGGGATTAGGTTTAAATATCTTAAAATAAAAAGAAAGCTATTAGAATGTAATCATGAGACTACAGCTTTATTTCTATTGCTCTGTTGCACTCTTGTGCAGCTCTTGCATAAAGATTTCCTTTTGCCTCTGGAAAAGCACATGAACCGAAAGAGCGTTTGCCTGTAAAGGGGGGATGTCAGGGATGAAGAAATTCACTAGTTTCCTATGATTAAATGTGTTTTAATAAATTTACCCCTGCTGAAGAAGGGAGGTGATACAGCTTGCCAAACACATTTCTAAAAGCGGGCTTTGTTTCTGTCGTATTTGTGGCTGAAAATACAGGCAGCCACGGACCGTGTAGCCCAGCGAGTCCTTACATGCACAGCTATAGGCAGGCAGGGCGACTGCACCAAATGAGAGCCTGAAAGTATCGGTTCTCTGGAGAAACGTCCCCCAAACAATGACCAGCCTCTATGTTCATCCCTTCAGCCTGAAGATGCATTTCCACAAGTTACCTGTGAGTGAGGTAATTTAGCACAGTCAAAATCAGAAAGCATTGCCTCACAGAAATTTAAGAAAATTTAGTCTTGAGGCTGGAAGGAGGATCTCTGAAACATCCCAAGCTGGGACGCACCACAGACCTGAAGCTGACCTGCGGTGGGGAGCCGAGAGCTCCCCCAGCACATCCCCACCCCTCTGTTTCACGCACATTTTCTTATTCTTTTGTTGCTGCACAAACATGACCTTAAACATGAATTAGAATCATTCTCACCATGCCACATATTTCAGGCTAAACTATAAATGACAAGACACTTCCTTGAGAAATGGATTATATTTACACTGAATTCTTGTAAATCAAATTAAATTATTTAGGAACAGTCCATAGTGGCAGTGTTGTCAATCATTAAGCCATGCTTTATTCTGTTGTTTAGTGCCTCCTTTGCCTTTACTTAATCTGAACCATGGGATGTGTGACTCACTGTCTTGTTCCTCTGGATTTATCAATGACATTATTGATCTCAGATACACAATGAACAATCACAAGACCTGACGAAATAAGGTACAGAAAAGTAAGGGTGTAATTTACGTTGTCCTAGACCAGAATTGAACACTGTAATTACCAACTGAACCTACAATAGAAGTAGCCTGGACAAAATTCTTCCCTTTGATCTGTTTTGCAAGCCTCCTAATTCAGAATCATCTCTCTTGGAAAGGAGAAAGACAGCTGATCTGGCAACACTTTGATGCACCAACATACTGATCTTTTTCAAAGCAAACAGACCTTACATCCAGAATTATTCATTTGTTTTGTTGTTGTTGCCGGGGTTTTGTTGGCTGTTCTAAAATAGAATGGCTAGAGACAAAAAAAAAAGATTTGGGGCCATTTTATATATTTGAAATTACAAACAAATATAAATCGACTCATTGCAAACACATATGAGAAAAATACAAAATACTGAGAAAATAACATTTTCATTGGCTGAAAAGATGAATGGTAATGAACTACGGAAACAGGCTGCATTTCACACTAGTTTCAACGCGGGAATTTTGGATATCAGTTCAACAGATGGTTATGCCTTCATTTTCAGTCTTGTACTTCTTGACTTTTTTATTGCTATGTTTAGGTGTGCACATCAGGAATAAGAAAACTGTCCTGTTGGTGCCTGTTGCTCCTTTCTCTTTCTAACAGTATGGATCTATGACCGCATCCTCTCTGTGGAGTTGTTGCAACAGCTAGGGGAAGGTCTTTCTGTACGTGCAAGGAGGAAGAAGGATCCACTGCCTTTTTCTTTTTAGGTTGTATCTTAGCCTAGACCCTGCCTCCATACTGTATTGTGCATTGCAGTGTGTTCTCTGTATGTACCCTACTTGGATGGCAAATGGTAATTTATCCAAATTTAGTCATAACACAATTAAACCAGTTGTTGGAATCAAAAAACTACATAAAAATCTTATCTTCTATTAAATAAAAAAAAAAAAAGGTGCAGTATAAGAACCAGATATTGCTTAATAGTATTAAACTTCACAAATGCAGAAAAGAGCCTAAAAATATTTAGGGCATGAAGATCAGGAAACACTTTTTCTGCTGTGGGGGTGACTGAGCACTGGCACAAGTTGCCCAAAGTTGTGGAGTCTCCATCCTTGGAGATGTTCAAAATCCAACTGGACATGGTACTGGGCAATTAGCTCTAGGTGGCCCTTCTTGAGCAGGAAGGTTGGACTAGATGACCTCCAGAGGTCACTTCCAACCTCAATTATTCTGTGATTCTGAGTGATGCTGTCCTAAACCATCAACAGATATAGACCTCAGGATGCAGGATGAGGAAGGCTTTTTCATCACAAAGATTCCTAGTTTTCAAAAGATACAGAAGCCCAGTCTTGTTAGGACGTATTTTCCTGCCTACTAAGTGAAGTACACATATTTTACCTACTACTTTTTCCAATTCCTATTGCCTGAATTAACTTATCAGTACAAAATGTGAACCATGAGATACTGTCTGTCCATCACCTACAAAGATATGAAATTAGGTACAGTACTGAAAAAACCCACTGGTTCGGAGCAGCACAAAATTTCAAGTAAGTTCAAATTCAAATGCAAGCTTTGAGGCAGCAGCTACAGTCTTTTGTACTCTGTTCCAAAGGATCTTACCTACCTGCAACTAATTTTGACTTTCATTCTTTATAACTAAAACTGACAGAGACAAAATTTCCGCTCTGCTGCAACTGAACCCAGAGGATGTTTCAAGTGTATTTTCCACAGGAATGTTCGTAGGGTGACCTGGTTATACTCAGAATCCCCCAAACATTTCCAGTGGAGATGCTTAGCTTATCAGGAATTACCAGAAGCTCACTTGAATGCACCTTTCTTGCTCATTTACCTATCTCATTCAAGGTGGTAAGTTATCACATCTTCATGGTATTTTTTCAAATTTGAAATTCCTGCCCATACTAAATCACCTGAAATTCTGTAACTTGCATATAATACAGTAAAATTACATATCTACAGACTGCACAAATTCCAAGTAATTGCACTTGCAGGTGTTATCACAACCAGAATTCAATTTCTGAAATTGTTCTTTCCTTTCACATTAATTCTCTTTAATGCAAACAGCATGAGGTAAAGCTATGACACAGCTTTCAAGGGAAACAAAGCAGGTAGAAATGTGCATTGAGTAGATTCAGGAAAATTTAGAAACCTCGTTTAGAAAAATCAATTTTTGTATGTATGTATAAGCTGCAGTAAGCTCTTTGGATTGTGAAAGCCAAGCCCTTACATTTTTTACTCAAACATATTTCCTGTCAACATTAATGAATGTTTTCCTAAGTAGAAGCTTTAAACTGACCAGAATCGCCAGTCTACACAGAAAAAAAAGCAGTGAAACACAAAATAGAATTTTTTTTCTAATTTATAAACAAAGGGAGAAACGTGTTTTAAAATAAAGACCATCTAATCACCAAAGTGATTCTATGATTCTATGATTCTAATTCAAAATCCATGCATAACTGA